CGGGGCCTGGCATCCGGGGACCTCCCCCTCCGACGTCGGGTCACAATGCCACTCGGCCACGGAGGGCCCTGCCTCACTTCCCAATCAGGTTCCCCCCAAAGCCACTGAACATAACAGAGTCACGTACGGCCTACTTTCTCAGACGGGTCTGCGTGTGGCTGAAAGGAATTTTAAATATAGATTTTTATTGATTTCAGAGAGGAGGGGAGAGGGAGAGAGATAGAAACATCCACGGTGAGAGAGAATCACTGACCGGCTGCCTCCTGCACGCCCCCTCCTGGGGATCGAGCCTGCGACTGGGGCATGTGCCCTGACCAGGAATCAAACCGTGACCTCCTGGTTCATAGGTCGACGCTCAGCCACTGAGCCACACTGGCCGGGCCATCTGCCTTATTTCTTTACGGAGTTCCACAGACAGCTTCACTGGTCTTTGTAGCTGTTTACAAGTGACTATATTGTGTCTAAAATAAATCTAGTTCCAGTTGTAATATTCACCATGATTAGGATGATGGGGGTTCGTGCTTTCTCCTTAAAGATTTGGGATGCCATCAGCTGAGAAAAGGTTTCCACGGAGCTGTGCATCTTGTGTGTTCACGTGTCAGTGCTGTTTGATGGCAAAAGAACATCGAATTTGCTCTCCTGCCCATCAACGCCCACACGTGGTGGTGTGTCCCAGTTCTCTCCACACATCATAAAATCTGTTTTCTTCGGAGGCATCTGTGGCCTTGATATATGTGCAAGCCGCTTGCATGAAGCACTGCTAAATGGTGAATTTTTGTTTGTGGAGAAAGGATTCACTCTCTAGAGACCTGGTTCACCCCACCAAGTGCTACAAAGTGATGCTCCTGATGCGAGAAGACTCTATTCACAGAGAAGCAGAAGCCGGAGCGTTAATAACTTGTAAAAGACCACCAAACCCCAAAGTGATGGCACATGGCAACTTGAACGTCTCCAGGCTGGGAAGCGCCAGGTGCGTAGCGAGGGACCATCTTAGGTGGGACCTCATCCCCAAGGTGACCTTTCGCCCCCTGGTATATCGCTGGTCATGCGGTTTAAACCCCCTGCCCTGGCGCCAGCCAACCAACCAGGGGAGACCTAGACCAGGAAAGGACACGCCTGGAAAGCTGCTGAATAGTCTACTGAGATCTTCCCTGGGACCGTCCCCAAGATCTCGACGCTTAAACCTCAGCACAGAGGACCCCGTGGGCTCTCCCGGTAGCTCACCCGATCTTACCACCTCCCTCCCTGTCCTCACAGGGGTGTCACCTCTACCTTCTCACTCCCCGGCATCAGGGCCCTGCCTTCACCTCTGTCACTTGTTTCCTACACCCATTTCTTCTACAGATCACCCCTTTGACCTCCGTGATTTTATAAATAAATCTTCTCTAACAGTTTGGGTCTTGTCTCTGAAATTTCCTACCCAGAGTTTGCCACTTCAGACTCTAACACGAGAATGTTTTCGCGGTATGATAGTTTTCGTCAACATACGCAGTAATCGCTGTGATATTCCGCTAAGAAAATGTTCTGGTTTGTGGAACCATTTCCCCGTGCGTGGACAGTTCCGTGTTCTGGTTCCTTCACTTCGTTGCGGTTCTGAAAGGCTGTATAAGGGAAAGAACACGTGAGATCCGAAAGAAAGGGCCCGAAAGCTAGCCTTGCTGCAGGTCCCCCGGGGCTTTGGGCAAGTCCCTTAGCCTCCAAATCCCTCCACTCCATAAACTGGCCGTGAACAGCTTCTGCCGCACGGGCTGTGTGTGGCATTAATTAAATACTATACATGAGGTACCACACAATGCTTTTAGTAAATATTTACTATTCCAATAAATATTTTTTAAAGTATTTATTTCCTCTTTTGTTGTTGTTAATCCTCACCTGAGGATATTTTTTCCGTCGATTTTTAGAGAGAGTGGAACAGAGTAGGGGGAGGTGGGGGGAGAGAGAGAGAGAGAGAGAGAGAGAGAGAGAGAAACATCCAGGTGAGAGACACATGGATTGGTTGCCTCCCACCCACACCCCAACCAGGGCCAGGGACTGAACCTGCAACCCAGGGAGCTGTTCTTGACCGAGAATCGAACCCAAGACCCTACAGTGACCCGATGCTCTAACCACTGAGCTATACGGGCCAGGACAAGCTCGTTTCCTCCCTCGGGAGCTGTGCTGGGTCAGAGGCAGGAAGCAGTGACAGGTGGCCCAGCGCCCAGGGGAGAAAGACCTGCCACGGTGGGGTTGCTGGGACGCAGGCTAATCAGCTTCAGCCATGTGGCCGCTCGCTGTCCGCGGATCCCCCAGCG